TTTTCAGCCTCCGGCTCACACATTTTTTGTCTTAGCTCAGGAAGGGATGGCTCCAGAGCAAAGCTAATTTATGCACTAGCCATATTGCTTGCTCATAACTTTAATACCAGTAGCTCACAAAGTAGATTTTTTTCACCCAAGACCCCACAGCTTAGCAGGAACATCTACACCTCTCTTGGGCAATTGCTGTAGAATGATTGTCCTGGGTAACAATGGAACTCATATTTCCTGATTTTATTTTCTCAGGGAGACAATGGGATTGATGGTGTCGATGGAATTAACGGAGAAGAGGTAAGTCATGTTTTCTGGTCTTCCGTCATGCTACATTTTTCTTTTGATAGATAAAATAAACTTTCTTTTTTGTCCTCATCAAGGGATCACATGGACTTCCAGGACCAAAAGGAGAAAAGGGAGACCCTGGCCAGCCGGTATTATTTCAAATTCAGTTACTGCTTCACTGTTGAATTTGATTGGAATTAGAAGACAGTTCACGAATGAGAAAATGTTTGTGCAAATTCTCAGAGAACTGGAATGCCACTGCAAACATTGGCTTCTTCTTCTTCTTTTTTTTTTTGCTAATATGCTCAAGCAAGTGGTAGCTGTGCAACAATTACCTAGACCCATTTGCTACTTGATATTGTTGCTACTATTGCCAACAAAAAACCTCGTTCATATAATTGTATACAATGTGAAAATCTAATTAAAAGGGTTTTTTTAATTATCTAGACCCATTTTAATCTATTTTTGAATCTGGTTTTGGAACTGAAACTAATTTGGTTATTCTACTGGATGGCTTTTTTCAGGAGAAAGAAAGTGGTCTCAAACCTGCTGATCCTTCTGGACTTTTGGCCAGTTTTTGAAATCATTGACATTGTATCTTGTTGAACTGGTTATCTGGGATGGGTATCAGGGCACCGAACTTCAGTGATTCTGTTCCTCTCTGGCTGACCAATATCAGATGGTGGATCTGTGGGGCTACTGCTCAACCCTATGGTATTGGAGCTATAGGGTTCTGCAGGTTTCCATCTTATACCCCCCACTATTCAACATCTACATACATCCACTGGGTGAAGCTATCTGGAAATTTTACGTTAAAAGTCAGCAGCATGTTGATTACAAACAAGAAGAAGAAGAGAGAGAAGAGATTGGATTTATACCCTGCCCTTCACTTGGAGTCTCAGAGGGGCTTACAGACTCTTTTCTCTCTCCCTCCCCACAACAGACACCCTTTGAGGTAGGTGGGACCAAGAGAGCTCTAACAGAAACTGCTCTTTTCAAGAACAGCTCTGACAGAACTATGGCTTGCCCAAGGTCATCCAGCAGCTGCAAGTGGAGGAGTGGGGAATCAAACCCGGTTCTCCCAGATTAGAGTCCGCGCACTGATCTGGTCATGCACCCATGACCTGGGATATGTCAGCCATATCATGTAGCTATACCCTAAGTCTCCTTTGTGATGTGTAGTTCCTTTAACCAACTTCAGTGGCTCACCAGCTGCATTCCTTCTTGCAAAACAAGATGTGGTTGCAATCTCTGTCATTTTAATGTCATTACTGTTGCTGGTTTTAACTGCTACTTACTTCGTAATTTTATTTCTATCCATCATCTTGACAGCCTAATGGCTCTGAGGTGACATAAGGAATCCCCCACATAAAGTACATTACATTAGTCAGTCCTCAAGGTCACAAAAGCATAAACAGGAAAAGTAAATCCCCTACTCTCTGGATTTAAAAGCAATTGGGAATTTTTTAAAAATGAAGTATTAGAAGTCAAGAATTGAGACAGGCCCAATTTAAAGGATTTTCAAACTCAACATACATTTCCAACATTTTCAGGGCATCACAGGTTCAAGAGGACTTCCTGGTGAACGTGGTCCGAAAGGCTTTCAAGGAGATTCTGTAAGTTTTCTTCAGAAATATATTTACTGTAAATTAAGGACTTGGTTGTATTGTCACATCTCATGAGCAATCTGCTAAAAAGTTCTTACGTAACAGCAGTTATTCTTCATTGGCATTTTATCATTTTTCGAAGTCTTAAGGCGTAAGAATGCCAGATCATTGCCTTGACTGAGATCTGATATCCATCTCAAAGAGTATCACTGGTGAAAATACATCCTATGTGATCCATATTTTTAACACTGCACTGCTGCTGTGGTTATCTAGTTTGTATAGGTCTACCTGCCTCATAAAGCATGTTGGGGGATCTAGAAGATTCAAGTTGTGAGCTAGAGCAAGAGAAGGAGGCTACAGCAGAACATCTGCAGGTTATTTTGGTTACTGCAAGAGTTTACCAGCAAAGATGTTCATATGAATGATTTTAATTGTATTTATATGCATTTTATGTAAGCCGCCCTGAGCCTGCTTTGGCAGGGAGGGCGGGGTATAAATTGAATGAATGAATGAATGAATATTTCTACCACAGTGCCACAGGAAAAAACCCTTACTGAAGAGAGAGGTATGCTAAAACTACCCCAAGGTAACAGGAGATACATTAAAAGTAGAAGTTCATAGTTCCTCAGAAGTTTGTAAAAAGGTGTTTTGAAATAAATATTGCATTTCACATCTATGTGTCTTCCCCCAAAAAACAAATTATTGTCTGGGTGTGGTCATACAAATTAGTCATCTTCCACAGAGGACTATCAGTCTGAAGCATCTATGTAACATCTGCTGAGTATTTAAAATAAATATTATCTCACTAAAGGACAAACAGTACTGGTAGTTCTATGTCCAAAGATTTCAGGCATTTAAAAAAAATAATAGTCATGGGTCCCTGTACCAAATCATGGCCGTGGATCAGGGGTTTAACCTTCTAGGGTTGCCTGTTTTGATTCAGGAAATTCCTTGTGATTTGGAGGCAGTTCCAGGAGAGAGCAGACTTTGGGAAGGAGAAGGATAGCAGCATGAATATGGTGCTCCCTTCTCAGCTGCTATTTCCTCCAGGGGAACTAATATCTGTAGGCTGGAGATCAGTTGTAATGCCATGACAACACCAGACCTTACCTGGAGATTGGCAACTCTGCCTCCCCTACCCCTATGCCATTTCGATGATCTGGCACAGCTATAAAGAACTGCTATTGTTATGGGATAAGGAAAGACTCTGGCAACATACAGCATAGGGCTGATAGCTTCCTGCTGAGGGCAGGAGATTTTCTGCCCCCAGTTCCTGATGCCCGACACCACTCAGCTGTGCAGCAAGAGTAACTGCCCAGGCAAAATGGGGAAGCTATTAGCATCCCTGGCATGATGTTACTTCTGGTGCGACCCGGAAATGATGTCGTCATGCTGGGTGATGATCTAGCATTTGCCCAAAAACTCAGGCAGCACTCCTAGTGAGTAAACACCATTGAATAAAATGGGATTTACTTACAAGTAGACCTGTTTAGGATTGCTCTGCCAGTGATTAAATAATAGAGTTTTGGGTGAGTGCTAGAGCAGCGCTCTGGCATGATGACATTTCTTCTGGGTTGTACCACAAGCGATGTCATTGTGCAGGAGACACACAGTGCAACAGAAGTCCATCTCCCACTGGTTGACAGGGCAGCCCTAATACAGAGTGCCTACATGTTTACTCGACGATACAAGTATCAACCCTATGCAGCTATTCAGGTTAAAAAAGAATCATGGGTCAGAGTCCCTTCTCCCTCCCATGCATCACTGTCCCAATCCAAAGTAGGTGTGTATGTAGCTGTAGGGTGTTTGCCAGAAGTCTCATAACATCCTTACTTCGTTGTTAACTAATCACAGAAGACCCTTAAAGACCATGCACTTTATAGGGAACTTGTGGAGAGTTATACACCTGTTTGATCTAACTGCACCAATGGGGCATGAATGGTTCAAACTATGTAAACTATGTTGCATACTACAGGAAAACACTGAATATTTTTAAACACTATCTTCGAACTCCACTGACTATCAATAAGTGCTATGAGAATATATTTCCTGGACTCGAATATGGTACTTGGAATTTTACTTAAAAATCGGTGGAAGGGATGGCTATCTAGAAAAGAGAAAGTTGCTTCCCAGGAGTTTGGAAACCACAAGACAGATACCTTGGGTGACTCCAACATATTATTGAATAGTTAGAGTGAGAATTGACTTTGCTTTTTTTTCTTAATGAAAACTAAATAATCATTTTTTTAAGGGTGATCCTGGCGTGGACAACCTCATTACAGGAGCAATTGGCCCCAAGGGGTTACAAGGAAGCAAGGTAACCATTTCTAGTTATGACTTGGTTTACAACTTAGTTGTTTTCAGTGTTAAAAATGCAACCCTTTTTACAGGTCATAAACTTGATGGCTTGTGAATACCACTAAAAGCATAATAGATAAATTGATGTAAATAGGATTATTAATCATAGATTAGAAAGGAAGTATTACTAGTAAGTAGGGGTCATTTCCTGCGGGAGCGCACAGGAGCGGAGCTCCAGCAGTAAAGAGCCCAGGCGGCAGGCACATGCAACAAGCCCCACCCCCTACTCCCAGCAGCCCTCAGTCAGAGCCCAGGGGGCAGGCACACGCAACAAGCCCCACCCTCCTACTCCCAGCAGCCCTCAGTCAGAGAAGCAGCCAGGTAAGTTGCAGAGCTCCCCCCGGCCCCCCAGTCCAAAGCAGTCCAGTGGCACCTTCAGGTACAAGCTCTCCCTCCTCTGCGAGGACAGATCTACACGTCCCCACCCAATAGCTAGCAATAAAACAGTCCAGTGGAGCCTGAGTGGTGGGTGTTACCTTCTGACACACTTCCGGTGATGTCAGGGGGTGTGACATATGCAAATAAATTATGCTAATGAGTTATGCTAATAAGCTCCTGCACCTCTTTTTCTATGAAATGACCCCTGCTAGGTGACAATGATGCCAATAATCTTTCTCTCTTGTGCCTCATTTGTCATCTGATCCATAATGGGGGCCTTTTTTTGGAGGTGGGGGGAGGAGTAAGGAAGCAACAAAGGAAATTAGATGAATCAAATTTGCTTTATCGTTAGCAATGGTAGTTATAAAAACATTTGCTTTGATCCATTTCCCTTTTAGACATGTAAATAGGAATTGCTCCAAAAGGCTGGGCTGATGTGCAATAGTTACTGTTTGATAGCAATAGTCATCATATGACAAAAGTAGCAATTGGACTCATTTCTTAATCTCAGTTTCTGCTTTTTTACTCATTCTTCTGCATATTGTATATTATGGCTTTCCCATAAGGTGGCCTATGTGGCTGTTCATCTATTCTTGTAAATGTTTGAAAAGGAGAAATACTAAAATTATTTTTGCAGGATAATAATATGAAATTAAATTCTCCATCCATAGGGTGCAAGAGGACCAAAAGGTTTCAGCAGGCCCTGCAGGCCCTAGAGGAAACGAGGTAAGAGATTAATACCCTGGTTTGGCAGAAAAGCAGCATACAAATCTTGTAAAGAAACAATTCATTAATTGTGCAGACTCAGTGTTTAAACAAATCTGACTTTTCTGAGTAACACAAAGAATAAGAGGCTTCCAAGCTAGATATGGACTCCAGAATCCATAACGTCTATCTCATTATGGGGAAAACCCTAACTTCTAGTAACCATTCTCAAAATCTTGTTACTAACAGATAGGGTTGCCAGTTGCCTGCTGGGGGCAGGAGATCACCCACTCTCAGCTCCCGTTGGAAGGTGGAAGGAGGAAGGAGGAAAGGCCTGGGAGAAATGGGAGGAGGGGACGACTGGCATCCCAAGCATGATGACATTGCTTCTGGTACAACCTGAAAGTGACATCATCATGCTAGGTGACACTCTAGCATTCATCTCAACCTCCATGGTTAAGCCATAGACTTTTGGGCAAATGCTACAGTGCCATCTGCCGAGCAATTATACTTCTGGGTTGCACTGGATGTGACATCATTGCACTGGGGACACTGTTCCCTAGAGAACCAGTTTGGTGTAGTGGTTAGGAGCGCAGACACTAATCTGGGAGAACTGGATTTGAGTCCCCACTCCTCCACATGCAGCTATCGGGTGACCTTGGGTCAGTCACAGGTTTTCTCAGAGCTGTTCTCTCAAGGGCAGTTTTCAAAAGAGTTCCCTCAGCCCCACCTACCACACAGGATGTCTGTTGTGGGGGAGGAAGGGAAGGAGATTGTAAATCACTCTGCGACTCCGAGTGAAGGGCGGGGTATAGATCCAATCTCCTCCTCCTCCTCCTCCTCCTCCTTCCTGGAAATCCCCCACTTCCCCTTCTCCCCCTGATTGCCAGGCCATGCCTGGCAAACCTGCTAACACAGCAAACTTTCTGAAATGATATTCTTGCTATAAACTGGTAGCATCTATTATTATTATTATTATTATTAT